AATCGCAGCCACACTCACAAACAGAACTGTATGCCCAGGCCAGGCACTGTACCGGAATTGGTTGGGTGTTGAAGTGTTCTTCAACTGGATCTTGGAGATGAAGTGCTGGCCCACAGGATCACCTAATTTACCAACCGAGACCAGGAATTGCAGAGCGTTCGAAGAGGCCGGTCTGGCATAGCAGGTCGAATGTTCGTCGACACCGCAGAGATGCTCCTTCTGTCCGTGCTCCTTCATTGTCCAGCGGCTGATGCTCTCGTGCAGGGAATCCATGGGCACCTTGGCAGAGATGCCACTTGTCAACTGCATGAGCTACAAGGACTAAGACCAAGGCCAGTGTGCTAGCTGATTGAGGTCGTGCTCATAGCAGTTCAGCATCTCGCCCGCCATACCAGCACACTCTTGCCGGCCATTACCTGTGAACTGTAGCAAGGCTCTCCCAGGAGCGGTTGCCACGGGCATGAAGCGCCACGTGTCACGGGCTCCCTTGCGGCAGCTGCCCCAAGTGGCCTTCATTGGGTGCAGGACTGCAAACTCCTGCAAACCTCTGCAGGTGTCGCGGTCCCCGGACAGCCGCAAGTCTGCTGTCTCCTGCCCCAGAAGCCGCAAGGTTGTCTGGAAAACCACCTCCGCCTTGGGCTGGCAAAACTCCCACTCCACATTGTCCTCACCCACGTAGCACCAGATCGTGGAAGAGTTATCAGGATTGCGGCAGAAAGAACTCGTCAGATTTAGAGTTGTTCTGTGACTTTCGTTGGCCCCAGACTTGAGACGGGACTCCAGGTGGGCCAAGCGCTTCTCCCATGCAAGGCAGGTGCGACCAGACACAGTATGGTCTTGACATCCACGATAGCCCCAACCGTTGTCCTCAGCTCTTAAAATTACGGAGGGCATGGTGACTCAAGCGACTCAAGCATGCCAGGCAGAAGCGTCAATGGGCACTGAACAGGCAACGGCCTCCCTTTGCCGCTTGGGAGCTGTGAGCGTTTCGTTACAGCTGCTCTCGCGATCCAACTCGGTCAAGGGCTGGTCCATGAAGCGGCAAGAACTGATCTCCGCACCCAAGAACTTCATTCGAACTTGGTATTGCGTTCCTGCGATTGACGGAAATTGATATGCAAGGTCT